ATTGTAAGAAGAGAAATGTGACTGCAGTCTCATACTGTCTGATCTGAAGTACTGATGAGTAGAGTGGCTAAAACTATATCAGTGCAGCAGACCAGCCACAGAGCCGCCTCTTCAACACGGCTCCACAGCCAAAAAACATTTTAAGATCTAGCACTATAGCAGACTGTGCTAGTAAGCAAAATGTCATTAACTGTTAAATAATTGTGCATTCAAAGAAGCCTTGAAATTGACATTCGTCAGTATTGTCTTCATTAACGATAAGCTAAAAAAATTGTTTTGGTTCAATGAAATGAGGCTAAAATATAAATAACATTTAATAAAAATGCAAAAACGCACTGTGATGCATGATAAGGGCACGCTGAACCAACCAGTGGCGATAACAACACTTTTATGCAGTCTTCACAACCAAATGGGGAATTAATTATTAGCACGAGTTAACAGCACACAAATCAATGCAAACGTGGGAACAGAGGTGGATTACAGTCTTGTGGGCGAATATACAATGAGAAATATGCAATATGCAGAAATATACAATGTGTTTGCTGTGAATGTGCCAAATTTGCCTCATTTGTGACATCAGCATTTGGTGTGAGCCAATCAGAAAGGAGAAAACAGCACAACCAACTGACGTCATGAGGCAAAAACTATAGATTCCAGAGTTTTGGAAAATGTGACAAACAGTAAAACCGCTTAGAAAAAAAAAAAAGTGTAATTTTGCAAATACATGTGCTTGTGTGGACATTTCTGCCTTGGTAACTGACAGAAATGAGGTGTAGTAGTTAAAAAATTGCGATAAACTGAAACAACAATTAAGGTGCACTGTAAAAAATGCAACACAAACCAAATAATTTAACTTAAGGTTTTTTTTTATTATAATTTTTGCAGACAGAAAAACAAAGAACAGAAAACTAACCCATCATGAAACAATAATCTGTGCAAAATGTAAAATAAAGCATGAAACAGGAGAAAATGGCAGCATACACAACATATGACCTACAAAAAAACAGCAGTGGATGTACAGAAAAAAAACAAACAAAAAAAAAAAAACGTACAAATCTTCAGAAATTAAACAACACTATTATTAGCTTGTATGGTCTTTTAGGGAAAAAAAACTGGATCCCACATTTTATCAAATTTCGCAGAGTTCCCAGAGGTGGTATATCTAATTCTTTCCAAATGTAAAGTGGAGGCGAGTCCGAGAAGCCAGTCAAAAAACAGAGGCTTAACATTTTTATTCCAACAACAAAAAACTTTTTTAGCTATGATCATGCCATACTGAACAGGTAACATTTCGGTGTAGAGTCTCAAGAAAATCTGACCAGCCAAAAATGGCTATCATTGGGTCAGGGAGTAAAACAGCATTAATGTTTTTAAAAATCTTAATTTGATTTAAAAAACTATTAAGTTGTCCCTAATAACTGTCCCTCAGGAACTGTGTGGTTTCAGCTAATTTAAAATAAGTAGTCTGATCAAGAAGTACTATTATTTTGTATTTTAAAATGCCAAAAACAAACATCACTTGAAACAATAATTAAAAAAAATGTTTAAAGCTTTTTTCTGGGGCTGTTTGGAACACTTTTAAGGGATAACAGTTCAAAACAGAGTATTCTATAATTATTCACTCGTCCTCCAATTGTTCCAAGCTTGTTTGAGTTTGAGTTTTTACTAGGGACTCTGGGACTGTTTGGAACACTTTTAAGGGATATTTCAAAACAGAGTATTCTATAATTATTCATTCGTCCTCCAATTGTTCCAAGCCTGTTTGAGTTTTCTTTCTGAAAAAGAAAGCTGGAATCCATTGACTTCCATGGCATTTGTTTTTACTAGAGAAGTCATTGGTTACAGGTTTTCAGCTTTCTTAAAAATATAATATTTAGTGGAAAATATGTTCTTTAGTTTTGAACAGAAACAAACAAACAAAAAAAAAAAAACAGAACAAAAGGTTTGGAACCACTTGAGCTGTTTATTCCACAGCCTTGGAGCAGCAGGCCACAAAGGAACATTTTCCTTACTTTTTCAGGTATGTCCTCAGAATATAGAAATATATAGAAATAGATATGGAAACCAACAATCTCTTTAAATTATTCCTTTAAGGCTTTAAAACAGGGGTGTCAAACTCATTTTATCTCAGGGGCCACATGGAGTAAAATCTATTCATAAATGGGCCAAACTGGTAAAATCATGGTATATGTAACTTAAAAAAACAACAAATTCAAATTGTTTTCTTTGTTTTAATATGATCAACATGAAACACAACTCTGGAGCCTGAGCACAGTGTGTTCAAAATAGTAGACACAACATCATTATTGATCACACCAACTTTATTTAAAATTTCTAGAGAAAAAGAACACAAACACACAATGCCTCAGTGATTCACAGAACTGTTAAACAGATCACAGAAATATGTCAGGGTGTCTCATGTAGCACTTTAAGTGAGGTTGCATAGTTTATTTGACCGCTGATAACTGGCATCTTTTAGCTTTCAACAGCGCATCAATATCAGGCGTCACATACTGAGTCGCAGCCAACTTCAGAATGTGATTCAAGTGCTTGTGCATGAGCTTTCTTTTTATTTATGCTCATTACAGAGAAAAATCTGCTTACAAAGATATGTGGTTCCACACATTGTGACAAATTTTTATAAATTCGTAAGATTTAGTACTATTTTCACCAATGGCAGTTGGGTTTAGGGGTGTGGTTGGGTGCCACGCCTCCTTTTTAAAATAGTACATTTTTGTACGACTGAACTCGTATGAATTAGCCACTAAACTGACACAACACAAAATAGTTCAGTTTCTCCAAGCGATCACTTCAGTGTGGTATGATAGGGTATAAATGTAGTCTTCTCTCTGAGAAGGCTGTTAAACTGATGCCGAATTAGGCTTCTGGATTGCTATTGCTATTAGCATCCATGAAACATTACGCAGCTTTTAATCACACAAAGTATAACATTAATTAGGGAAAGATAATGCCAAAATTACATTTGAACCCCTACACTGACTTGCAAATTTCTTAATTTAAGCATTAATTGCACAAGTCAAAGAAAATATATAGCACTAATCTAATGTTTTGTTTTGTTTTACTCTGGACAAAAACATTGGAGACACTTTAGGTCACAATTTTACGGTATTAACAAACCATTAACTAAAACCACTACTAATTAGCTGTTTAATAATAGTTTGTATTAGGGCTGCTCGATTTTGGGAAAAATCATAATCACGATTATTTTGGTCATAATTGTAATCACGATTATTCAAAACGATTATTAGTTGAAGTCAAAATTATTAACACTCCTGAAAATTTATTTTTAAATAAATATTTCCCAAATGATGTTTAACAGAGCAAGGAATTTTAACAGCATTTCCACTAATAATTTTCTTCTGGAGAAAGGCTTATTTGTTTTCTTTTGGCTAGAATAAAAGCAAATTTAAATATTTTGAAACCTCTTTTAAGGCCAATATTATTAGCCCCTTTAGGCAATATATACTTTTGATTGTCTGCAGAAGAAACTACCGTTATATAATGACTTGCCTAATTACCCTAATTAAGCTTTTGAATCACACTTTGAATTTGAATGTTTGTATTTAAAAAAATATCTACTAAAATATTATTAGCTGTCATCATAGCAAAGATAAAATTAATCGGTTATTAGAAATGAATGATTAAAACTATTATGTTCAGAAATCTTTCCATTAAACAGAAATTGGGGGGAAAAGGTTGCTAATATTCAGGAGGGCTAATTATTCTGACTTCAACTGCATATATTATTTTCCTCCCTGCAAAGGAAAGAGAAATAAATACAATAGAATAAAAATATGAAACAAACTGTGCTTTTAGCATCTTCACTGTAAGAAAAACACTTTAGCTACAAAAGTCTTCAGTCATGACTTCAGTCAAGTCTTCACCGCATTAATCAAACTTTGATGCATCACTTGCTTTTGTTCATATCTCAGACAGTTTTACCTTTTAAAGTTTATTAAAATATTTAAAACAACAGAACATGAGTTGCTCTAAAAATATATTTTTTATTATGGCAAGAATTAAAACAAAAAAGTGCACTTACTAAAAAATACAGATGTTGTTTAGATTTAGCCCGCTCCACAGTTCACACATTACTGTCTGGCTAGTTTCTGTCCTACTTATACTAAAAAGGCAATTATGGTCCAGCATTCCTGACCATTATCACCAATAAAGCCTAGAAAAAAAAGGCAGCAGTATATTGTAAAACATTAGGTTTAAATATTCCTTCCCAGTTATCAAAGAAATAATTCTGTGACTTAATTATAGCTTTGTAACTATTAAATAGTTTTAAATTCAAATTTGCAATATATAAATCAGTGTTAAACTTATGGCTGGTGAAAAACATATTTCTGTAATTGTGAATCCACTTTTGCCATGGTCTCTTTTAGTTTTAACAAACTCATCTCTCAGGTTTTTCCAAACCTTTTAACAAATGTTTTTTTTTTCCTTTTCCACTGCTGTTGCAATTTCTAGCCAAGAATTATTGGTTATCAGGTTATCTCTATGATCACAAATCATAAAGATGTGTTTACAGTCATACTGTTTCAGACAAAATATCTTCAGAATGATTCATATTCAACTCAAATCAAACGCAGCACTGCACACACTGTTCGATCGAGTCTCAAAAAATGCCGTGCGCACCGCCAGCTGAAATGATGACGTGCGCACCCAAAATGAACATTCGCACAATCCGTGATGACGTCACATTCGCCATGTGCACCCAAGCGAACAAGCAAGCGCGTCGAGTATAAACCAGGCTTAAGGCAGTAGGCTAGTTAATAGCATGAATTGTGACCGAATTGTTACCAAAAATAATTTTTTAAAACATCATCATTCTACCTATTTTTTTTTTTTTTTTTTTTTTTTTTTACAGAATTTTCATGTGTTGGTGAACTTTCCAATTTATAGTTGAAAAAACAACAAGTCATACAACAACGCAAAACAAACAAGAAAAAAAGAATAATAAAAAGCTCCCTCACCTGTTTGAGAATGATTCTGGCGACCAGTCGTACGGTTTCAGACGGACACCAATTCTCCCCATACGCACACATGGCAGAACACTCCAGCTTGTGCATGGGCCAGTCTCCTCTCTAAAAAAGCACAAGGCCATGGTTTATTTTCCCAAAAGCTGAAAACATATCATATTTTCACATTTCACCAAGAGATCACAACATATACAGCATAACACACTTAAAGGTGAATATAACCCAGCATGAAGGGTCACAGGCAGCTCTTCTTTCTGATATGATATGCTTTTGATGAAAGCGATCTCATGTCGGCTCGCTTCCGTTTGATGACTCATGCTTTCTGATTGAATGAAACCTCAAGGCGAATAGGAGAATTCCTGCGAGATAAGACTTTGAATTAGTCTCGGGCTGCCTCACAGGCTACTGGGCAATGAACAAACCAAATCCTGCGTTCTGGCGAGCATACAGAAACTGATCCCTAATGCGTTTGAGATGGATCGTCATAGCAACAGTGCGGCCAGAACGCCTTCCAGCTCAATTTAGGAATAGAGAAACAACCAAGTCCCTTAAAATAAACAGGCTATGGGACCCGCTCCATGATCATTGCTTGAGCTATTTTGGTTTGCTGCTCTTTTTTGACTACTCCTTTTGATATATAAACGGAAAACCCTGTGTCTCTCTCTCTCTGTTTGTGTGTGTGTGTATTTTTATATACTCTTTCTTTGCCAGAGAACCATTTGTTGCTTCTGTGGTGTTATCAAAACATTGTTATGTGTGTTTGAATGCTGTGGTCTTGGATGCTTGCGGCAAAATCACATGATTTAGGCATGGAACGTCCTGTAGGTAATCTAGCAGGCAATAAATTCCATAAAAACACTAATTTAGATGAGCAGTTTATATATATATATATATATATATATATATATATATATATATATATATATATATATATATATATCAAGGGATCCTCGAGCTTAGGGCTCTCTCCCATTTGCAAGGGCGAGAGGAGAGATTGAGCTCAGGTAGATCTCGAAAACTCCCCGGCTGATGTGGCTAAAGGTGAACTGCTTTGAGAAGGAAATACTGATGCTGGGAGCTAGACTATGGTGCAATTTGGCTTAGTCGGTTTATATATGAGGCATATCTTTGGAAGGTGGGAGAAAACCAGGGAACACACGTGGACAGGGAATGAACATGCAAACTACACACAGAAATGCCAACCGACCTGGCAAGGACCAGAGGCAGCGGTGTTCTTGCTGTGGGGCAACAGTGCTAACCACTGGGCCGCTGTGCCATCTAATTTAGGTAAAGGGAAGAGGAGAAGGGAAGAAAGGGGGGTTTCTTCTAGTCGAAAATGGTTGTGGAATGAAGACTTTGATTATTTGTAGTGACTTAGGAATCATCTGAAGAAAACAGTGAAAATGTGTTTTAAATAGAAAATCGAGCTTAAGCAACTACAGTAAATGCGACAGGTCACTTTAGATTTTGTTGATTTGAAATATGCAATTTAATTAATCTTCCAGTCTCCACCACGGTGACTGAAGCTCCGCACAAGACTTTTGGCCAGCGGAGAAACTAAAATGGTCGTGCCCAACTGAGTCTGGTTCTCTCAAGGTTTTTTTTTCTTCACTCCTATCAGGTGAAGTTTTTTTTCGCTCTCCGCTGTCGCCACTGGCTCGCATGGTTCAGGATTGGTAGAGCTACGCATCGATGAATTTGCTCTTCAGTGTTTGAACTCTCAGTAATGATTTTAAATCACACTGAACTGAGCTAAACTGAACTGAACTTAAACACTAAAAACTGAACTACACTGTTCCAGTTACTATGACTATTTATGTGAAGATGCCTTGACACAATCTACATTGTAAAAGCGCTATACAAATAAAGCTGAATAGAATTAAATTGCGACTTCAGCAGGCAGTTCTCAAGATTTTAGGATTTTCCCATTCATTTAGATCAGATTTTGGATGAACTGCCCAGAGTGTTGCAAATTTGACCGTCGAGTGAACAGACTTTCCTTAAAAGGAAACTTTGATAATGTTCATATTTATATTCTTAGGAGTCAATTGTGTCTCTTTAGAACACTTTGATTAAATAGCTTTATTCACATGAATTCATCAGCATGAGAGTTTTTGGTGAATAAACTTTCAATGGAGGGCTGGAAATCTCTCAGATTTGGTTTAATATATCTTCATTTGTTTCCAAATGCGAACAAAAGTCTTTTGATGAAACTGTGACAATTTTAATTTTGAGCTGAACTAACACTTTAACATCATGTACAATCTTTGTTATTCAACTCAAGCCGAGAAGCTAAAATCCACAGAGGGACAAGTGTGAACACTGTACAGCTGTATGATGATGGATAGGCTGATTCTAATGCCACAACTTGTACGATGCAGAAAAACAGCAGGGACGAGACAGAAGGGACTTGTGGCAGAGTGCAAATGGATTATTGATGATCTTTATTTTTTTGTGCTGGATTCTGGACTGCGCTTGGCACTCACCAGCAAAGATCAATTACCGAGCTGTCACTCTGCCTGTGGTTTCCACACAGCGCTATCCTGGAGGAATTCATAATTGAGGAAGTGACTCAACTGTGCTTTGTCTTATACAAAGATTATGAGATAAAATTAATATTTTATAGCAGTGCAAAAATCAATATATAAATTACTGTGACATTCCCAGGGATTAAAGTGAAAAAAATTCTTGTGACTGAACTTTTTTCAGGCCAAGCCATATTCCTAAAACCAAAATTTTATTTAAATAGCCGAGACCAATAGCGTTTTAAGGGGAGATTAAACCGCTTTAATGTTGCCAGTTTGCATATTTTAAAAGCTATCTTTGAAAAATATATAACTTGACAAATAATCAACCATCTACCACACATCTTTTCAGTGCATGTTTTTATTTATCTTATAACACCAAATGTTTGGTGAAACTCATATTAACAGAAAAAAAGTAATAGCACCACCATTAAATTCAAAATAGAGCTTTTTCAAAAAGTGTTTTTTTCAGTGCATATTTTTATTTATCTTATAACACCAAACAATGTTTTGTGAAACTCCTAATAATGAACAGAAAAAAAGTAATAGCATCACCATTAAATTCCAAAAAGTGCTTTTTCAAAAAGTGTATTTTCAGTGCATGTTTTATGTATCTTATAACACCAAACAATGTTTTGTGAAACTATTAATAATTAACAGCAAAAAAAAAGTAACAGCACCACCACTAAATTCCAAAAAGTGCTTTTCTTGTCCAAATGCCTCTAGAGTGCTTTTCACTTTTTCTGCTTTTTGGCTGTAAAACCATATTCCTGAAGCTTGGCTACACCTGAAACCCGTTTTAGTGTTTGACTAGCTACATGTGCAGGAGTGGCTCCAGGAGAGGTGGAGGAGGTGGAGGCTGTAGCAGCAGATTTACCTTTAACTCCAGCAGTGGAGGAGGTGGAGGCTGTAGCAGCAGATTTACCTTTAACTCCAGCAGTGGAGGAGGTGGAGGCTGTAGCAGCAGATTTACCTTTAACTCCAGCAGTGGAGGAGGTGGAGGCTGTAGCAGCAGATTTACCTTTAACTCCAGCAGTGGAGGAGGTGGAGGCTGTAGCAGCAGATTTACCTTTAACTCCAGCAGTGGAGGAGGTGGAGGCTGTAGCAGCAGCTATTCGTTTAACTCCCAGGGTGGAAGAGGTGGGGGCTTTAGCACAAACATAAGAGGTGGAACCTTTCTTTACTTTTCTAACCCTAACTTCTGAGAGAACCTTCACAGCTTCCCTCAGTTTCCTTTCCTTTTGATTGTCAAGGTTCACCTTCTTTTTCTTCAGATGATTTTGGTATGTCTCATAAGAAGACAGGCAAAATCTCCTTAATGCAGGGGTAATTTGCATTTTAGATGCAGTTTTGCCCATTACCTTCATGTTGGACTTGAGAATGGCTAAACCTTCATAAGTCTCAATGTTCAGCCTAACCCTGTCTTTCTCAATTATATCATCCATCATGTTAAATGATCCTTCTACAAGAGGGCCAGTGAACAATGACAGAAGAGCCTTTACCAACTTCCCTAAGATGGGGAACCTCGTTCCTCCTCCTGTCATCTTCATGGCAAAAATCTTACTCCACCAGTCAACATCGATTCGTGCATTGTTCTCCTCAAAGCATTTGGCCTGTGCTCCTAGATCTGTATTAATCTGGTAGGCTCGAACCTCTTCATCCAGTTGACCCAACTCTTCTGACTTCACAGCATTTGGCAAGGCCTTGGCCAAGGTGTTGAATGCACCTTGGACTGATTCGTGGAGAATCAATGATGGTGTCAACGCAGATAAAGAGGTGATGATGATGTTGTTGAGGGGCAGGTTTTTCAGGAGGAATGTTGCTGCCTTTATGTAGCCTTCTCTGAGAGAACTGTAGAGCTTCTGCACCCAGGGCTTCTTTTCCACTCTAGCCTTGTTTAAGGCAAAGAAGCTGAATCTTCCCACAGACAACCTTTTGTCAGTGTACTGCAGGTCTCTCTGGTGAACATTAAGCTTCAACAAGCCATTTGCACTCAAAGGGATAGTTTCAGGCTTCATAAATTTGGAGAGAAGTTCCCTAACCAGCAGTAGCATTTCAGCATGCAGCACATGAATCATGGGCTTTTCATGTTGCAACTTCTTCAGGAACACCTGGAAAGTTGGAAGTACACCTAAAAATCACAATAGAACCAGATTAGAAATGGGTCTGTATATTTTATTCATTGATTAATTATCACATTCATAGCAATGTAACATACTCTTCTTAGAACATTACAACCCTTTAATATTATTTTCTAGATTTGTTATTTCCATTTGTATTATTCAATTGTCTAGTTTAAATTACATCAGTCCTGACATGTTTTAAATCTGGTTAATAAGTCCGTAACTTTGTTTTTGAAAACTGCTGTATAAATAGTTTATTATTAGTAGTAGTAGTATTAACCAAAGTGATCTGATTAACAGTGATCTAAAAACTATTTATAGTTAACTCAGATTCCATTCAAGGATTCCAAGAAAAATAAGCATATAATAAATATAGCAATAAAGGGATTTCAATAAATAAGAAATCTCTGTACTTTTCTTAACACTTAAAGTGAATAAAAAGTGAACATACCTCGATACAAATCAATAATGGTTGTGAGCTTGTCGAACTCGGAAAAAAGCATACAGATGCGTGTCTTTCGTTTTTTGTTGACATCACTTCCTATCCTCGCAGATTTTGCTATTTGCTGTTGCAGACATATTATCCTGGCCTTCTCATCAGATGTAACTGCATGCTTATCAAGAAGCTGGTTCAGGAGCCATCTGCATCACAAAATTATAATATACAAATAAGGATTAAGGAGAAAAAATAGACAATGCTATTTCTAATTGCCAATACTTCAACAGTCATGACATAATTTTTGAGTTTACAGGTCAAGACTCATCCTTTTTTCTATATAAAGATTATTTAATAATTTGATAGCATCTGGAATAAAGCTGAGCTTCACTGTTCTAACATATTTAACCCTTTGAGTCACTGTATCTATAACTTTATATACATAACCTGATTGATCACTGAGGCATCGCCACCCCTTGGTTTAGATTTGTTATGTAAAAAAATCCAGTAAATGTCTGCATCTTTAAATATTATTAATAACAAAAAAGTGAGTGTGTATATATATATATGTGTGTGTGTGTGTGTGTGTGTGTGTTTATTTATATTACTTTTTTAGGACCAAATGTCCCCTCATGGATAGTAATACCGGGGATTTTTGATGTTGTGGGGCCCTTTTTGTGGGCCCCACGTGGGAAATAAAAGGGGAAGGGGATAGAATATACAGTTTAAACAGTAAAAAATACATTATGCCTATGGAAGGGCCCCACAAAGATATCACCATAGACCTGTGCGTGTGTGTGTTTTATTAAAGATCCAAAAAAAGCCTACTAGTACAGAAATAAGATGATACAAAAATAGAAGTACCTGTGTTTGTGTTGATCATGAGAAGACAGGACGCTGTAGAAGTGCACGGTCAATGGATCCATAAGGTCCCGTATTCTGTTGCACACATCTAACATTTGCAGGAACCTGCTGCTGATGGGACGTATTAGGCTCTTATTCTCCAAATGAAGTAAGGACTGGAACTCAGAAAAAATTTCTTTCTGTTTGGGTGATTTTTCAATGTCATAGTATACATCAGAGCAAAATTGTTCCACAAATCCCTGGAAAGTATTTAAAAGGGCCTTGGCTGCATTCGAGACCATATGGACAGTGTCTCCGCTGACATCCAGCAGTGATGGATTTTCTCTTCTGACTAGTGTCTCTACTCCAGACTTTTTCCCTCTCATCACACTGCAGTTATCCAACAGTATACCAACAACCTGATTCCAGTTCAGGCTATATGACTGGAGAATATCTGTCAATGTGTTTGTGATTGATAAGGCATCTGCGATATTCAGTTTCCTCGAGGCTAGATGCTGGGTTGCCACTTTTCCCACATCTTCATCATAGTACCGAACAAGAACATTCAGAATCCTGTCCATGTTTCCATCTGTTGCCTCATCTACATTTAATGAGAACATCTTCGTTTTCAGCTTAGATGACAATTCGGACTTCCAATAAGCAGCAATACCATGTGTGCACAAGTAGGAGGCATGTGCATTAGACATTGACAATCTTGAAAGTGCACTCTTGTCTTTGACAACTGACTGCATCAAATTAACTAGCGGTTGTGAGATTGTGAACGACAGGTCATGCTCCGCTATGAAAGAACATACGCGCACTTTTACATCGCACACACGGTCGGCCATAGATGCATGAATCTCCGTTGTGGTACTTGTCGCACCAGGCAGGGAGCAAGTGTACTGTAGAGCACGAACGGCGGCATTGTGACTGGCTTCTGACTGATGGCGAGCTAGCACTTTTTTGCCATTACTGCCATATTGAAGTTTCCTGTGGCATACTGTGCAAAGACACGTACCTGGTTGTTTAATTTTTTTTGCCCACGAACTAAAAGGCTTGCCATTCTCCCCAATTTCGCTAAGCCAAGCCCATCTCCATTTATTTTTTACACTTTTTTCGATCTCCGAAACATCGGAGCCTTCCTGCATTATAAATGGGTCCATGCTATCTTAAATATAAATAACTTACCTCAGCCGTAGCCTGACATGTACTTCTCTGAAACTATACCAAAACCCGGAGTGGATCCATAGCGGAGTGATGCTAAAACGCTTAGAGTGGAGAGAGGAACGTGCATTTGCTCCACTCCAGGCTTTGATCACAAAATTTTTTTCCTCCTCAGCAGGCTGAATACACTTCTTTTCTTAATTTAAGACCTATTCAAACTAAAATTAAGACATTTATTACACTATTTGAGAAATGCCTATATTTACAGCATTAAAATTAGGAAAAGAGCATGAAAAAAAATTAAGAACAAGCGGAACACTGTAATTGACGGAAATCCGTCAATGACTCGCTCCAATTGACGGAAATCCGTCGTAACGACGGAGAACTTTAATCCCTGCATTCCAACACTGGAAAGAAATCTCTGATCATTTGATTATATGTCTGCCTTTCCACTGAGTGGTGCGGTTCGGTACAGTATAGCAGAGTTAGCATTTTTTTCCATTTCCACAGTCAAAGTTAACAAAATAGCAAATGTTATTGTACTGCTCCGCTTATTTATCACCCTATTCTTAGGGTACCCATTAGAACCTTACAGTACCAAAAATATGGACTCAATGATGAACAATATTAGTTTACAGAGAATTGTCACCAGTGTGTGCAATAAGACAATGGATTGACAACACAATCAGTGCCACGACACTGTTTGTCACAAGAACAGAGGCTTATTTTTGTTATTTTAACAGCCACATGCCAAGCAGGAACAGGATCTTCTGTATGACCTCTATTGTCATTTACAATTTGTTTACTCCATTGTCGTTTTTGAGGGTGATTGCCGAATATCTAAATTTGAGATAATAAACTTGAGTTTGCAGAAGACATGATATGTAAACGGTTTATTTTGGAGGGCGAATGACGTCGATTTTAATGTTTTGGCATACAACACACTAAGAATGTGCGATTCGGGGAAAATATCCAATTATGATTTTTTGAATTTAATATTGCGATTGAAATTAAATTTACGATTTAATTCAAGCTGATTTTAATTTAATTTAAGCTTCAGCAAAATAATCTGTAAGGCATGTTAAAAATTCTGTGACAGCTCTTAAAAATTACTTATTTGTGTTCAGTGTCTGTGACTTTGAAACCGAAATATTCAAATATTACAAATGCTGTTTTTCTTTGATATTAGTTAGTCTATTAATGCTTTTGATGCAGCAGAGACCATTATCCCAATGGTCAGGGCTTTCCTGTTTGTTTTCTTTTTTGTATTGTGGGTATAGTTCAGTTGCACAATTTTGGTTGGGAAGAACAAAAGTGTGCTCATTCAGTGGGCTAGTTATAAAGCCCCGGTCAGATCAGACTATTTCAGCACAATTTCCTTGACGTAGGGTGTCATGGGTGATGTGTGGTAAACGACAAATGGACGTTGTGACACAAGATTCAATCGTTTCTTCTCATGTAACGTAGCATCTTTCACGACAACCGATACCATGTACGAGATGCCTCACGACACCATCACAGAAAGTCTAGCATGTTTAATTTTCTGAAGCATAGGGGGCTGGTTTTGAAGCACTTCACCTCAGATGTTATTTGTTATTTTTGTTTACATATACATAATTTTATTGCAGCCTCTTGCGAATAACTAATCGCAATGTTTCAAATTGCGATTTCGATTCTATTATGATTAATCGCACAGCCCTACAACACACCAAATAAGTAAGGGTACTGTTGGCAGTGGAAACTAGGGCTGCACAGTACTAGGAAAACAAGCAATATTGCTGTTGAGTGTTGTGATAGCAATATTTCTTGCAGTATATCTAATTTGCAAAATGCTATTTTAGCAGCAACTAACACAAATATTTTATTTATGTTATGATCACCTTGAATTAAACAGGTAATAGACATTTTTCTGAGTAAATTAATTAAAACAAAACTATGTCAAGGTACAAACATTTAAGCCCAATCCCAATTCTATTATTCTACTTCCTACCCCTTCGGCCCTTGAAACAGAGTGTGAAGGGAAAGGGCTTTAAAATTTACCCCTAAGAAATGGGACAGCACTACAGCACCTTGCACACATCATTTTATGTCATCATGATCTCTTACTACATATGAGATTGACGATAGTGACTGCTGTGTTTATTATAGTTGTGCTATTTTTTGGTATTTATCTTCAGGAAATTACAGAATACAACAATATCATGTTATTCTAATGATATAATGCGGAAATAAGCTCGTAACTGTACTGTGCTTTTACAAAGTGACGATATTCATCAATGTAAACACATGAAAACAACAATAACGTTATAGCAGACACTGTAAAAAGCTAATTTCCGGTCACCAGACTTTTCTGACAGGGTATTTAAGTATCAGTGACAATGTTGAGGGACTGGTGTACAGGAGTTATTCTTAGGTATTATAGATAGCGAAATTAGCGATTTTTATTTTAACGTTGTGTGGTCCTGAAAAATCTCTGTTTCAAGGGCTATCTAGCTCTTCCCAATAGCCCTATGCCTTCAAGCTAAAGAGATTTGGGACACCCCTACAACTTCATGTAAATGCACAAAACAAGGGGTAAGGGGAAGGGGAAAGGCTAAGAGGTAGAATTGGGATTGGGCCTTAGACTTTAAAACACCACGAATGACTGAATTCATATTTATTTTCAGCTCTAGGTTCAGCTAACAGCACCTACTGGAAAAGTGGGGATGAAGTTTGTAAAGGCCCCATCTGATTGGTCAGATTTGGATAACTTATGCATGCAGCACACAAATGCTGGGCACAAAAATAAATTTAATTTATTGCATTTCCCTGTGATTTGAATACTGTATATACTATTATCTTGATAACCATAATTTTTTCGATATATTCGTGCAGTCCTAGAGGAAACGCAAGCCTGATTGAGGAGACCTGTACTGTAACGCTCAGAGGAAACAAGGAACAAGCATGTAATGTAAATCAGATGTACAGTATGTGTGTAGTAAGATGTACAGTATGTGTAGTGTAAATCAGATGTACAGTATTTGTGTAGTAAATCAGATGTACAGTATGTGTAGTGTAAATCAGATATACAGTATGTGTAGTGTAAATCAGATGTACAGTATGGGTTTTACATATAAAGGAATGAATAAGCCGACTGTCAAAGAAAAAATATAATGTAATAAATAAATCACAACTAATTATCAAGACATGGAAATGCAGCCTAAACAGATCAAAACAGGCATGTGGCAAAGTGTGGTATAAGTCCAGAAGATTTGGTCTGTTAAGAAAAGGTTGCAGGTGTGATTTTAGGTAAAGCGATTCTATTAGGCACTGAGTTCATTCGGAGTGTGTGCTACTCTGGCTCATACACAGAAGCAGCACTTCAGCTAGCGTTGCTCCAGTGGGACCATCCACACAATTAGAGCACTTCAGTGTAAGTACTAAGAGTAAGGGGAGAAAAAATAGCTCCTATTGCTGATAGTGCAAAATGAACTTTATGAAACATACAGTCATGGCGATGTTGTTTAACTGGCCAACAGTGTTTCACACCATGGTTTAGTAACTGCTTTGACCAGTTTATAATATAACTGCTGCACTACATTTATAATGGGTCATTATTTTTGACAAGTCAAGTTCTCTATACAGATCCCTATGGCCAACTTAAACATCAAACATGGAACTGACTAAGACAAGGCCACTGATTGGCCAGTCATTTACTGCAGCTCTGCTTCTTCATTCGTTTTCCAGACAAGAACTGTTCACCGACCGTGGTTGGTCTCTCTTAAATTGTTTTGTTTTTATTTCTGCCAACTGATAGAGTTTGGGTTCTTTGATACTGTCAGTTAGAGCTTATTTTTTGGGGACAGGTAGAGAAGACTTAGAGCCAGTACACACCAAGCGCCAAACAACTAGCTAGCAAAGAGAAGAGTGCACGTTCTGAGCCTACACAGGTGAATGTCTTTCCACACAGCAGTAGTGCATTTTCTCCTTCAGAATGGAAAACCAGAACTTCTGATGCACGTGTGCAAAAAGTAAACAAAGCAGCATTTATCTGCTATTTCTATTTTCACAGTAATTGTCAGAGAGAATCACTCTTGCAAAAATGTCTGATGATAAAATAATAATGCAAATATTTGAGCAATGTATCAAAATTACAGCTGGTCTCTGTGTTCCTTGACTTGTTTACTTGCTACTTCACTACATCACACTCAAACTCTGATTCGTTGCAGAATAACCAGTCAGAGCGCTCTCTTCAGCCAACACAGAGTTGACATGCTGAATTGGGTCAATGAACTCTGACATTAACCAATGAGGGGTGACGTGTGGAACACACCAAACCAACTAGCTTGACTGAAGCTGACTGACTGTTTTTTTTTTCATGAACTATTTGAGAGAATTCACATACAGCCAATGAAATAATGTCCTTCAATGACCCCAGAGTCAAAAAGAGGCTTACCTGACACTCTACATTGCAGTAATAGGCTTGTTTACATTTCCCACACTTCGACAGCCCTTCTTTCCTGCCAAAAAAATTAAATAAAATGACAAACAGATTCAGAAGAATATCTTTTCACACTCCATGTTACCATTTCTCTTTTTAAGGAACAGATTTATTTACCTCTGTTTCCCATAATTCTTTAATTACACCGTAGAAAAACATAGATGCTACACAAAATGAAAATCAAGGTTACATATGTATCTCAAGATATTAAATGCACTGTATTAGTCTGTCATTTTGCTGTGGTTTTTTTTGTAAAAATTCACTCTTTCAGACTTTATATTTTGTGAAACATTTAAACACACTGCAAAGAATATCTTTTATGTTCAACAGAAGTGTTATTTTTAGCAGGGAGCTAATTTTTTCCATTTGATGGCATGAGAGTTTGACCGAAATTTTACATTTATGGCTAAACTCACATTTCCTATATAGTTCACCGAGAAATGCAATGAAATATTGCTGTTAATTTAATCATCCAAGGCCATTCAAGATGTAGGACTTTTTCATAAGTAAAACATAAAAGATGATTTTGACTTGAAACTGTGATCCTTAGTGATTAAAACAAAAAAGCAATTAAAATTATCATTATTTCTATAGTGATTTTACAAGTAACATCCTTGGTTGGTGATGCACTGAGGTTTTATTGAATCTGTGATTTTCTTCAACAATATAACCTTTAATCCACATCTTAAATAAATGTGAAGATAGTCATACTTTTTTATTTAGGTTGCAGCAGGTAAGATAACAACAGAAATGTAGCATTTCGATGAGCAATACAACATACGCAGTAGATCATGTCTGAGTTCGTATTCATGCATGTCATGTGACTGGAGGCTTGTGCTACAGAATGTTGTGAACGTGGACTGAAGACACTTATGATGCAAATAACCAGTTTATGAACAGACTTTTCTGAGTAAATAAGACCTCACTGCACCAGGAGCGACATCAATTATTTCTTTTGCTGAATGTGTTTTTGGGCTCTCAAGTGCTGGTAGCTGTTGTTAATTTACAGTGTCTGAATCACAAAGACCACAATTTGAATTAAACGTTATACTTTATTGTGCTACTAAAGGAAAAAGTCCTGACTGATCTAAGGTTTAGTAAATTAATCTGCAAATTTTCAATTTTGCGTTAATTATCATTTTCAAAATAACAAAAAGGAAAAAGCTAGTGTAAACTTGACAAGTTCTTTCTTGACGACTGAAGCTTAGGCCCCGTTTACACTAATGCGTTTTAGTTTGAAAACGCATAAGTTTTGCTACGGTTACGCCATCCGTCCACACTACGCCGGAGTTCTCGAGCGCCGAAAACGGAGCGTTTCGAAAACGCTGGAGAGGCCGTTTTCATTCTAAAACGCTGCAGCTCCGTCTCAGTGTGGATGGGGAAAGACGGAGATATCTGAAAACGGAGGCGGGGCTGCAGACATTCGCCTCTCTGATTGGGGCTTTTCCTCAATATTAAGTAGCCTAACACACAGTTCAGTCCTGAATCTTCTCCGTGTAAGTTCAGACTTCGCAAGTTTGATCAAGGCTGCATCTCTTCTTCTCAGTTTGATATGGAAAACATACCGAGGACACGCGTCAATCTTCACAGGGAACAGTGTACTTTATAACTTCATTCACATCACCTTGGCTACGTTGTTTCACTTTCTCAACAATAAAATGTAAACTTGATATAAGGAACTGCCTATTTTTATTTTAATATTAACAACTAAACAGACAGCAGAAATGTTGAGGCGTCGTGCTGCATGAGAGTCATCTTCACTGTGTGCATATTTATAACAAAACGGAGCCGATAACAACTGCCTCCTTTCAATTTCAGTGAAAATACGAAACACACCCTCTCCAGTGGCGTAGCGCAAAATGCAGAGGCCCCCCTGCAGGGATCGCTGACGGGGCCCCCGATGAAGGGGGGGGGGAGATACGTCACACGTCAATTTGCATATCACTGGCGTCATCACGTTCTACCGTTTCTGTTTGTTTAACAGCCTATGGTTAATAAAGGGGCATTTATAATTGCACTACACTTTATATAAGCATGTTTATTTAACTAAATTTATTGCTGTTTGAATACAGTATGTCATTATAGATGTGTAGTGAATGTGCAGTAATCTCTCATATGTAATAAACTCAGACAAGTTCAGAAACTGTCACTAAAATATCTGTGATTGTGAACAAGAAAAGAATAAACGCTCCAATTAAATTGTTAAAATAAAGTAGAAGTACATCGGTTTGACTGTACAAGGGAAATACCTTCACACTGCCTGTGCTAAATCATTTGTCGTCGGTACGCAGAGGGGTGATCTGCTCTCGGGCTGCAGGTGGGAGAGGCTGCTGTAGAGGACTGACTGGGCCGCCTGTCAGTGCTGTGAGGCGGGGGAGGGGCCGGCGGCATCACACGCAGCTCGTTGAGAAGAGTAGGGACGGTACAGTATGGACAAATGACAGTCTAAAAAATATCTCCAATAACACAAAAAAAGTCGCTAGATTTGTCGCTAAGGGGGTCTGAAAAGTCGCTAAATCTAGTGACAAAGTCGCTAAGTTGGCAACATTGGCGGCAAGCAATCAGAATGAAGTAGTCCACCGCTTGAGAGGTGTTCAGAGAACACAGACCTGTGAACTTTGGTTCCGACCACAGTTGTTCCCAAGAGTTTGATTATTGCGTTCGCCGGTGGATTTTTAATTATTGAAAATCACGACGACGCGGGGCCCCCTAATCACGTGGGGCCCCCCCGCGGTGCGTGCCCTGCGGGCCCGTCCGCTACGCCACTGACCCTCTCTTTTGCTGAATATCAGTTTTAATAATCGATAATGGCCATTATAAAAGTATAACATACAATAAGTTTATACATTATAGGAAATAAAGGCAAGCGATCAGTCAATATACAGAATGTAGGCTACGTGCTTACATTATTCATTAACTTATCTTTGCGCTCAGCCAAAACACGTTACCTGAGAACAAGTAATAGATTCCAATGACCAAAGTCAGGAATGTCGTTAGATAAAGACAACAAGATGAATGAAATATCACGTTTAATAAATATAGTGAGATTAGATCCAGCGGGAGATGCTTGATGAGAAGTCCGACTAGCAGAGCTCTCATCTGGGTAGATGGGCTCCAGCGATTGCCAAAGTGTGTGTGTGTGGTCACGTGATGTGCGTTTTCAGCGTTTTGGTGTGGACGGAGAGCAGTTCAGAAACGCTGGGTAAAACGCGAGTGTGGACGCGGATCGTTTTCATTCTAAAACGCCGTTTTAAAACTAATACGCACTAGTGTAAACGGGGCCTTAGTCTATGATCAAAAGCAATCTTACTACAAACAATAATTTAAATGTTTCATGCAGTTTCACTTGCACAGAGATCACAGATACTTTTATTAGAGATGTAGGATTTCCTAAGTCTAGATCAGATCACACATTTTTTTCTGACTTAAAAAGGTAAAGCTGTAAAAGAGGTAAAGTTGGTTTTATATTCCCATAATCGTTCAGTGACAACTTGTGACACACTCCCTATATTGTTTACCTTGACACTTTGTATATTCGGTCTGAAAAAACCTGCAAACATGACTTGAAAACAACATTAACACTGTTTATTTGACTGCGAACAATGTTGTACTTTGATGGTCATTGGCTGCTAATATAATTTCGCTATTTAGAGTTTGCAAACAATACTTTTAAGAAATTATATTATATAGGGAAAAGTTCGAATGTCCAAATATAAAAGCAAGTTTACCTCTATGTCACTTCACTGAGCATTCATCCACAGCACAAACTGCTGGGTGTGTACATAAATTGGGTCACTCTTCACGGCGTGACCCAGCAGCATTTAAACACAGCCCAAACAGAAAGCATGTGCCAGCCATCTTTAAGATAGATCAGCCCCTTATGAATGCAAATGACCTGCTTATCGTAACTAAAACATAATTATTAACCAATATAAAAGTTAACATACACATATTGTGACATCTAATGAATGCGCGCATGCATTCTTATGTGAAACACCCGTAAACAACCCGACAGCAGAGGAGAATCTAGTCTCGTGCACAAACCCGTAAAGTGTGAGTCGTGGACTTATAAGGAGCGCTGACCTGGTAAAGCAGCATTCGCAGCGTCCGCCTCTCTCGTTCACGGTCAGCACGTATGCATAAGCCGGACAGGCGAACACTAGATCACCAACTTTAAAATGCTTGATGGCTTTGAGTCCCCGGCCTTTACCGGGGCTCAGAAACCTCTCAGTACCCTCGATTCCCTCTTTTTTCATCGCTATTGACCTGCTGCTCGCGTGTCACACTTCCTTGCCCTCGTCAGAAAGCGCTGTCTCGGTCTCAGTCGGTTTTGTTAGTGACTGCGGCAAGTGTAGTGACGCCACTGACACACCACATGCTCGGCGAAAAGACTCCGAACAACGAGCTGCACCAGCAGACCGGAGGCTCACGGCAATCACACACATACATACACGCCCCGCGGTCCTAAAGCCCGTTCGGCTACAGCAACAACAGCGGCCACCAACGACCGACCGGGCCGACCTTGGTATTTGGCCGTATGGCGCCATCGTGTGCTCATCAGGCGAAAACAAGGCATAATGGACGAATCATCGTGGCAGAGATCCACTTACATCCTTCTAACTGCGTCCGGCATATTGACGTACACCTTGACACCACCACACAGGCGTGCAAACCTGAATGTATATATAATAACTTTTCTTTCTTTCTTTCTTTCTTTCTTTCTTTCTTTCTTTCTTTCTTTCTTTCTTTCTTTCTTTCTTTCTTTCTTTCAATACAAAATTACAAACTTTGTGAAATGCTATAGGAATGTACAAAAATGTACTAGGCTCCTGAGGGCCGAAAGAAAGAACCATTGCTTTGAGGCAATTTGGAAAATAATACTTAACTTATTTTTTTAATGCTATACAACATATAACATGTTTACTCTAAATTTACATTTGAAAAATTTGGCCATTAAAAGAAAACTCTTAGGTAATTTAAATGAATCAACTAACATGAGCTAGAGTGATGTTATATGAATATGTAACTTATAATTTTAATGTAAAAAATGACAGGTAAGGGGTTGTTCTCCTCCCCTGCTTGTTTGCTTAGGAAAAAAAAAACATTTGTGATATTTTCTGTTTAATAATTATGATTCTGATTATATTTGGTTATAATTTTATATTTTAGAAATACTGAAGTCAAACATTTTTGGTCACAAGGAAACATTTTTAAACACACTTATTAATTTTTCATAATTTACTAATGCATTGCTAAAACCTAAAGTTGTGTGTGTTTTAATTTGTGTAGCCTATAACAGAAGTAGAATAAGTGTATGTAACCAGTAATTTTTTCTTTTTTTGGTGAACTATAACACACTATTTACACCTTAATTTAAGGTGTTATCATATGTTTTATAATTCATTAAAATAAAATTATTAATAAAATTATTTACTGATTTTTTCAATAATAATACTAATATTAATACTACCACTACTACTAGCTACTACTACTACTAATAATAATAGTTTACCCTTTAATCTTTCCTAACATTTTTTTTTCTTTAACAAGTTATTGAATGCTTTCTGTCTGCATTATGATGCTTTCAAATATTTACAGAGCTGGTTCAGAGCTTGTATCAAATTGGTGGTCAAGTGATTTTAGCGAATCCTCTACGTCACACTTGACCTTCGAACTTGCATTTTGGTAAATTAAATTTTAAAGTTACGTTAGGCTATGATTCGACGCTAGATGGGGTCAATATACGTTTTTAACATATTCCCCTTCCGTTGCAAAATACAGCAACTATTAAAACTGGATCTTGCTTTGTGAAAAATGCATCCGTGCTACAAATTCGACCAGGTGAAGTAGGCCTAACTTATCTTTTATTTTAGAACTGTACGTGAACTGAACGTAAACCATCCATTTTACAGTCTATGAAACTATCCGAATCTAAGCTTAACGTTATTGTTGGATTCAGTCTGTCAGTGTTGATTTGTTTTTACATTTTTGAGTTGAATTTTATAAGGACTGGGCCTGGGGTATATCGTGGCATATCACGCTGGTTATGTCCAAAATCACGCACTTTCTTGGGTCTTTTACAGTTGACCAAAACGGACGAAAGTAGGCTATGTTAGAAGTTCCAGTAGCCCTCTTAAAAGAATTTTGAAAGAGACCACTTCCGGCCAGTTCCTGATATATCTCATATTACTATAAATATTAACTGTTATATTGAAGACAAATGGCCATTGTAATAATATGTGTTCGTATATGATACGTATGACAGCAAACAACGCTCTTGTCATGTTGTGGGTCCAAAATGTCATACAAATCACACACACACACACACACACACACACACACACACACACACACACACACACACACACACACACATATATATATATATATATATATATATATATATATATAGGCTATATATATATATATATATATATATATATATATATATATATATATATATATATATATATATATCCCTCCTTATATTGGCAGCACAGTGGCATAGTGGGTAACGCTTTAGGTGCTCATGTTTCCTCCACAAGTCCAAAGACATGCGGTACAGGTCAATTGGGTAAGCTAAAATTGTCCATAGTGTATTTGTGTGAATGAGAGTGCATGGGTGTTCCCAGTGATGGGTTGCAGCTGGAAGGGCACCCGCTGCGTTAAACAAATGCTGCATAAGTTGGCGGTTCATTCTGCTGTGGTGACCCCAGATTAATAAAGAGACTAAGCCGAAAAGAAAATGAATGAATTAATATTACATTTTATTTTACAGCATGTAGTGTCAGTGATAATATTGAATTCACACTAGATTAAAAGACATCTACAGTCATTAGAGATTTCACTTATGTATACACAATACATGCATTCATTCATTCATTCATTCATTCATTCATTCATTCATTCATTCATTCATATTCCTTTGGTTAGTCCCTTTATTAATCAGGGCCAAATTATCCAGCATATGTTTTACTTAGCGAATTCCCATCTGCAATCCAGTACTGGGAAACACCAATACACACTCATTCACACATACACACTACGGCTGATTTAGTTTATTCAATTCATCTATACCGCATGTCTTTTGACTTTGGGTGCCTGGACAGGAGCACCCGGAGGAAACCCACAGGAACAAGGGGAGAACATGCAAACCACACAGAAATGACAACTGTCCCAACCGGGACTCAAAACAGCGACCTTCTTTCTTGCTGTGAGGTGACGGTGCTAACCAATGAGCCACAATGTTGCCCTTGCATAATACATGTATACTATAAATTAAAGCCAATGAAAATGTGAAAAATAAAAATAAATAAAATTAAAATATAATATATAATTTTCCATTTATATATTTTCTGTGTTTTGGTTGGGCTTTTTGAGTAGCCATGTGTTACAAATTCCAACATGCATTTATTCCACTGTCGTTAGTTATGCTTAATAATATACAATGGATGGAAATCAATTTTCAACAGTGTGGTTTTAATTCAAAGATATAAAGTTATGTTTATTATAAGCTATTTTAATGCATCGTAACAGTTACAATGTCTCATGTATTAAAATGCCTTTCTTTCTTTCTTTCTTTCTTTCTTTCTTTCTTTCTTTCTTTCTTTCTTTCTTTCTTTCTTTCTTTCTTTCTTTCTTTCTTTCTTTCTTTCTTTCATTCTTTCTTTCTTTCGAGACAGAGAAGTAAGCAGTTTCATACTACATCTGCTGGCTCTGATGTCTGTCTCCATCTGCCGACCATATAATGCACATGTTGAAGCAAACTCCAGTTCCAGTACCTCCATCTGCTGGTAAGAGCGAGTTTTACTCAACGAGACAGGGTATTTATTCATTCTGTCCCACTGGGATTGTTGTTTTTTCCATGTCCTGGTCCGGATATTAAACGTAAGAATTATAAAATTACGAAAATGAAATTATCCTGAAATGATTAGTCTTTTATGGCAAATGATTTGTTTTTTGTAAACACTGATGTTGTTTTCTAGTATCGATCTAAATATATTTTTGGCAAGGAATTGCACGTGGAGAAATTATTCTAATAATTATGAGGAAAAAGAGCCAAATGGTCAAAACGTGAATGAGAAACAAAACCAATCAATTAGGCATTTGTACAAAAAGAAACCCTAAAAACAAAGATGTTTGAGCTTTTCATTTCAGAATGGTACGAGATGTTCCTACATTAAAGGGTGGTAATGTAAGGCCAGTATTCACATGCAAAGCATCAATTAGTCCGATTGGCAAAGTTACAGAACAGCTCTTTGTGTTAAGTTATCATCAGTGAGCTAGAAGAGTTGAATTATTCATCTCAATTGTTCATCTTTTTGTGATAAAAGCAGTAGGTTTGGGCTTGTAAATCAATATTTATATTTTTATACAGTTTGGATTTGACAGCCTCACAGAATGTGCTCAGTGCTTGTGATTTTATGTTATTATATTATAAGAAATACTAACAATTTATACACACTGTAAAAGTATTTTATTATTATTATTTCTATAAAGACAATTTAACACCACACTTTAGTTTTCAAATATTATATTTCTGTGTTGCACTTCACTTCTAAATTTGACTGGGGAATCTCATGCGACGGATTCATTTGTAAAAAGATTTACAAGTTATCCCAAGCTCTTTGGGAAGGATCAAAGATTAAGAAACGACTCACGAAATTCCCTCTCTGCCTCATCCGTCTCTGTATTAATATTTCACAAAATCACCTTTGAGATAAATACAAGGATCTGAAACAAACATGCACCTAAAGGATTTATCCAACCCTGCAGCCCATCAAAATGATTTTTTTCTTAGCAGATCTAATCTAAAGACACAACCTTTTATAATACCATCAAGGCACAGAAGAATACACCTATCCATTTGTGAATAATGCTATCATTTTCATTCTTTTCTTGATTAATATGTAACCAAATGTTTCTTGGGACATAACCCCCCACCCCCCGTTTGGCATCCCCCCGCTGATCATCATGTCCCAAATACTAAATCAGTTTTGATATTAGCAAGGGCAGAGCCTATGGGAATAATAATAATAATATTTTTTTGTAATAAAAGAAAGATGGATTAGATAGTCCGGATTGTCATTTTGAATTAAAGAAAATGATAAGGAATGAAAAAAAAAATTACATAAGTAGATTTAGCTCTCAAGGAGACCCAGATATGATAAAATGCTTCAATCTGTGCAGATGACAGAGAGCAGTCTGAACCCTTAAATCTCCCCATAACAAACATGTTCAGCTTAACGCTACACTCTGAGCTCATTTAGTTGGGACCCTCAATTGAAAATATATGTTTTTTTCCTTTTGTTGTCTGCATTTTTTAACCTTCTTAGATTTGTTGCTCTCATTTAGGTACTTTTTTCCTTTGAAGGTTCCTTAGAATCTTAAATTCAATTT